TCGATCCCAAGTTCAATGGACAGAAATTGTCTAAGTTTCCATTCAGCATCTTCTCTTGGGTATTCTTTTCCAAGTCCAGTGAAGACTAGGTTCATGTTCATCGATCTGCACTGTAGATCAGTAATCTGCCCTTGAAGATGTTCACGGTCCTTTCTCAGATTTTCTAGTCCTCGAGATAGCGTCATAATTGTATTTTCGTGGCGTTTAATGTCTTTTACCGCTCCTGTTGTACTCGTTTTTTCATTTTTCATTGTTTTCATCTGGTCATTTATTTCTCGTATAGCTTTGTCTTGGTCGTGAAATCTTTTTCTAATTTCAACAGATAACCCTTCCATCTTTTTAGAGTCTGTATCAAATTTTGAAGATACAGAAAACGAAATACTCTTCTCGAGTTCTTCATTTTTCTTTTCAATTGTGTCGACTCGTATTCCTAATGCAACCACCCTGCTCTCAACACTGCTCAACTTTCGCTCTATGCGATCTAGCTTATTTAGTTTGAATGAGATTTCATCCAATTTTTTATTTGTAGTTTCTTGTTTTGATTCACTTGACTTCATGAAGGAAGCAAGTATTTTGGAAGCGTTTAATTCCGATTCTTCAAATGCACATTCACCGTTTTCACCGTGATCATCATTATTTTCTCCATATAGCACTCTATCGGCCTGTCCTATCGCCTCACTGAGTGATTCCTGTGGGCCCGACTGAGCACTGTTAACCTCACCTTCACTTCCATTACTCCGAATTTTTCGCTTCTTTGCTTTTTCTCCCATTTTCACTCATTTTCACCACATCACTATTAGATAGTTTGGAAATACATTCCACTTTATACACAAACAAGATATAAACAAAAATTCCAAAGATATAAAGCATCGCCAAGTTAAATCACATAGATTTTTACGGAGCCCTTGAAAAACACGTCCGTCCACCTGAACGGTCACTCACTAAGTCAAAATATTAAGGCATCCCTTTAATTAACTTAACTTATACTAGTACACGAAGAAAGCCTTTATATAAAAATACTGAATTAAGATGTACAGTTATGGATTACATGAACTTCCATAATGAAACGTTTCTTTTCTTCTCCTTTTTTTCTCAATTGAAATTATTTAAAAGATGATAAAAGCTTTGTTTCCAGGGAAAAATTCATTTTCAAAAAGTGGGAACAGATAGAATGAACCCACCTGCTGACCCGCAGTGAGCCTACGATACTGAAGCTCTCTGAAATTACCGTAATTAATTCTCCGCTCGTCCATCCGTTTTTCTCAGACTAGCCAGCTAAAGATCTATGTACACTACTCCAAATCATTTAATCTTAAGAATCTGAATTATCATTTTATTTTTTTTTTTGAGTTGTTTGCTATAAAGCCTTTAGAGTTACCTAATTTCAGAATCAATAGAGCATGAAAGCCAATAAAATTGGCAACATCAACATAATTTTTTTCGTTCTGAACACTTTTGGACGCCAATGGAGACAATTAGGGAATGATATGGAAATAACGAACAGTATTCAATCTCAACGTCCATTTAACAAATATACAAAATAAGAGCACAGCAAACACTGACCCCCGAAACATCAGAGGTGGGATCAGGTGCCATGGAGGAGTGAGCATAGAATTTACGAAATGATGACTTTAAACGAGACTGTTGATATTCTTGTTTCATCAAATTGCTTGTCAATAATTTACCTCGTTTAAGAAATTGTTCATACGTAGAGCATGCTCTTGCGTATCGAATCAATTGAGATATAAATACTCCGTATGCAGGTGATGAAGGTATATTGCTGCATAAGTAAGGGAAGTTGACGATAGAAAAGTTAAAGTCATCACGTTAATCATATAGCTTGGTTGTTAGATTACCATTAGTGTCTTTTTCAAGTTAAATATCCAAGTATGAAGCAGAAGTGTCGGACTCTGTGGTATCTTTTATCTCAAGCTCACCAGGATATATCGTGTCGACGTAGGAATGGAAATTATCATTATTAATTGACAATACGTCGTCGATATATCTAAATGTCGAGTTGAAGGCCACAGCAAGTGTTTTCTTCTTTTCACGTAAAAGATTTTGCATAAATTCTACTTCATATGAATATAAAAATAAGTCTGCTAATAACGGAGCGCAATTTGTACCCATGGGAATTCCAATAGATTGTTGGAATACCTGGTCTCCAAAAAACACATAGATATTGTCAATCAGAAACTCAAGCATCTTCTTGATGTCAACTTCAGAGTTCTTATGTGTACAATCAGAATCGGTTTTAACAAAATAATTTTTCAAATGACCAATGACGAGGTAAGTAAACTTACGAGTTCCATTTTTGTTGAAGAAGCAGCTGTCAATGATATCAAAAAGCCTGGATTTTAATTTGTCGTGGGGAATTGTTGTGTATAAAGTTGAAAAGTCGTAAGTTTTTATGCTGTTGATTTTTGTAAAGTCTTGTGATTTCAAATTGTCCAAAAGTTCTTTAGAATTTTTAAGTATCCACATCTGATTTACACCACTTCTTGAATATATAGTTGTACAGTACTCTTGAAGTTTTTCCTTCATTACTGTCAATATTTTAGTGAGAAGTAACGAAAGAGGCTTGGTTGAACATTTACTGGAACCTGCAATTTTGAAATTGAACTTTCTGTTTTTCAAACTGAAAATCGCAGGTTGATATTTTGAAACAAACATTTGTGACATGATCAGTCTGGGATGTTATTGGTTATACCATTTTATCATCATTCTATGCCTTTTTTGTGATTGTACACTGTACATATTCGATGAAAGCATGCTAACCGCTTTTCAGTACTTTCAGTACTTTGATTCAAGTATGGCGAAATTATACATGACGTATGCTTTATAAATAAAGTGACATTTTCAAGTAATAAAAAAATCAAAGACCCCTCCAACAACAAATTATTTTTCAAATCCCGACTGATTTGTGTTTTTAACTAGTCCTATTTGCTAAGGTGAGCGATTTGGGCCAAGGGTGTCTTATTAAAAACGCTGATTACCGGAACAACTCCCACATTTGACCAAAAAACATATCATTCTTTGAAATATGACTGCTTGTGCCCGGCACATTTAAAAGTGAGTTTTGAACGAACCTGGAGGACCAATGTGGTCAGATATTAACAAATCACATTCAATATGTGAACTTAGAATATCATATTGCAACCTGTTAGAATCATCTTTCAAAGGAATGGAGCGAAGACTGACTCCCATTGAAAAAGTTTGTTAAAGTATGAGAAAATGATATTTTTTTTGTTCTTTTTAGTGTGTGCATGCTTTTTCATAGGCATATATTCCCAATCTTTGTTATATTTTTGTAAATTGTAGAGATTTTACATTAAGTATACTTTAATTTCAGATGAAATTTCAAATACAATTTGGATATAATTGAGATTAAATTATCACTTCATATCTGTCGCACTATAGGCAGTTCGTCCGCCTTATCCCCCATCTTCTTTCATTTTCTCATTACCCATTTGGCGCAGCTGTGACAGCGTCTGCTCTAGAAGCGGAGTAAGGAGTCAATTCTTGCCTCGCGAGTTCGAATCTGAGTGCCGAGTACAATGTATAGAACAAAATTTGCACATTTCAATCAGCAAGTGGTAGTGTCTCCATATGAGTGAAAAATTCTCATGGGGGACGTTAAATAATATACAATCCAGGGTTCTCCATCATTTGAGATTTTACCGTGTTGCAGAGTTTACGCGAAGCACTAATATTTCGCGGTATTCCCGCAATCAAATTCGCAACTGAATCCCAATTCATCATAATTCATAAAGATTACAAGCACACACTTATTTAAAAATCGCCAGTTCGTTACACAAATGGTATGGTCGTACATACTGATGAAAGGGGAAGAACGTTCTGAAAAGCAGAAGAAATTCTGACCAATAATACTTAACATTTTTGAAAGTAGATTTGCCGTGTTTATTTATCAGCTAGGTTTCTTGATCGAGTTACCGTATTACAAAAAAGGAACTTCAGAACAGTAAAATATTTTAAAGAGTTCCTTGAACATGCTGAAATTAAAAAAAAATTCGGGAATTTATTTACATCAATTAAATATGACATCGGTATGATGTTATGTTTGACTTACAGTGCTTACATAATTCTAGAGCCGTGACTCAATAGGAAAGACATATTTAAATATTTTTCATAAATTAAACAAAATATTTTATTGCAACTACCAATTAACCGGAACATTGAATTGTGAAAACAATTTATTTGTCTTTGTTCCGTCATGCGTAAAGTCCGGCGAGGGTCTAGGAGATAATTGATTGATTACTCAAGGTGAAGCCCTAGTAATTATGCGTTATAACTTTTTGAATTGAAAGACGGTAGAATTGTTTGAGTAAAGTGTCAGTTTGAGAGAATTCGTGTGTTAAGATTTTCTAATTATCACAACTCTTACTGTGTCGGAAAATTTTTTACTGTGTCGCATGCATGAAATTTGAATCGTTACTGTGTCGGAGAAAATTTTACTGTGTCGGAAGCAACACAGTAAAACAGCTCATGGAGAACCCTGACAATCAATCAAACAAGGTTCAAAATTAAAGTTTTCTGCATAAACTTCTCAGAATTCCTCTAAAATTGTAAGTAGTTGCCAAATCATAATTAGAGAATTTACTGTTGATATACTGTACAGTCATGTAGGAATGATATGAAGTTCAGAATTTCAATTTTTCATCTTAGATGGGGATCGAAAAAGAAAGCCTTTAACCTAGAGGGCGAAAAACAGAAAAATCGATTTTTAATACAAAAATTTCAATCTATGCGTTCTTTCTCACATTTTAAGTGGAAATCGAATTATCTTTGGAATATGCCAATTAATCTTGATTTATATTTGCAAAAATGTTGGCTTTACAAAATTGATTTGAAATTTTCCAAAATGTTTCGATAAAGAGAATTTATACCCCAAAGTTGTGAATGAAAATATCAAACTGTAACATTATTTTGTTTTTAAAGCATGTCTTAAATTAATTCAATACCATTTTCATTTCTTTCAGGTGAAAATAATGGATGCAATTCCACTTGCACAGCATCTTTTAATTACGACAACAAAGACAGCAGGCAATATGACATTGTTGAAATTAAAGTAACTGTTTTCAACAACATAAGAAATATCTCGCTAACCTTCGATGCCTGCATGAAGGTAGCTAACAACAGTGGTCGAACTTTATCTATAAATTGCAATGAAGTAGAAACTAATGGTAGGTTTTAAAACTTTTATTATGCTGAGTAAAACATTTAACTTATTTTATCGATATATAAATCAAACACTGTCCCTATAATGATTCCAGGCCTAGACTCACAGGTTTCCTACTAGACAACGGAAGAATTTATAAGAATTTTCTCCCTATTACATGTAATAAACAGTCTGAAATGTCACCTTATCTCTGTATATACTGGCCTTGTGCACCACCCCCCTACGTCACCAACCTGCTCGTGTCCTCACCTCAACATAGGTACACCCAAATGTCCTTTTTGATGTAAAAAAAAACCTACTGGAAATTAGGACGAAATACTCATGCAGTAAAATGAACGACCTTTGATTTGATCCTTTGATTCCCCCTCATCAGAATAATTTCTAGAATTCGTCATGGAATACCGACTACAATTAAATCGTGGCCGCACACTTGACAAACAGTCACTACTCTCACAATTGAAAGAAATTCAAATAAATATCTATATGAACAACATTTTCCTGTAAGATTAACGAATCTAACAAATCAGCTTTCGGCACAACACTGACGACGTCAAATACGTAGCTCGAAACGTATTTAAATGTTTTCAGGAAACTGTATCCCTAATAAAATTCAATTAAGCATTGATTCGGCACTGTTTTTAAATTTCTTTCAGTTTTTAAGCTATAAATCTCGAAGACCATTTTCTCATAACAATTTTAAAAGTAAAAGAAATGTCCTGCGCAAACTATAGATTTTTTTTACACCCCTTTATAACTGCATTTTCCAACACCATGTAAACACGTATTAGATTTTGGATAAATAGTAATTGAAATTTTCAAATTGTACGCGTATTTCTCGAACAACATTTTTACGTACATTGGGGGAACAAACAATCTCGTTTAAATACATTTTATCATTAAGTAAAATGTTGACTGACGTTTGTTTCTCAAACTAAATTTTACACTTTTATTTAGACATCCACGTAATTTCGACAAATTTTTTAGTTATTTTCGATCATGACTACATTTAGATTCCGATTTTGTAATGTTTAAAGGAGTTTTGAGCTTGGATACTACATTTTTGTTATCTTCATAGATTTTATGATCTTAAAAATTCTGTCGCCATCTTCGTTGGAATATTAGACAATTTTTGTACTGAGTTAGAGGGCCAGATTCGCTTTGTCGGATCAAAGAAACAAACTGTCTGCCTGACGTCGTTAAGCAGAAGGCAGACAGTTCACTGCGGTCCAACATCTTACCGACCTATCCAACATCTCATTCAACGGTCAAACAGCGATTTTTTATGCCCATTCAGCAACACATTAGAAATGTTAGACTTTTATGCGCATAGAATAGTATAGGAACAAGTTTTTGAATGTATAATAATGTTATTTACTTTAAATATGATAACATGGTACGAATTGCAACTAATCAATGATTGGTTTATATTTCAATCTCATATTATAAAAGAATCTAAGATAAAAGGCTTATTGCGTTTAAACACAATTTTTTCTTTATCTCAATCGGATTCAATTGTGTTATGTAGAATTTCCCAAATCTGTTAAAATTAATGACATTTATAGAATCGTTTACTTAATGTTAAAGGAATGAATAGGTTCCTGAATGAATAATAAGTAGTTAGTTCCTAGCATCTAAAACATTTGTATTCTTGGACTAGTAATTTTAGCTGGTTGTAATTGCATTCCATAATTTCAGTCATTCATTCAAATTTTAATATTTATATTTCCAATGTCTTTGTCCGAGATAAAGCTACTAATAATAAAAATATTTTTTCTACATAAAAAAAAATACGTGGAAAAATATAAAGAAACGTATTTGTAGCACGTAAATTTGTGGAATCAAGAGCATTTAAATATAAGGAATATAACTATCAAATGTTTTGTTTCGTGACGATAAAAATCAATTGGCTTCCGTGATTAATCCTTATTGAAACCAAAAAAAAAAAACAAAACAATAGAAAGATATTCCTTCAATACAAACATAACTGACTAGTATGACTATATTTTATTATTACAAGCGAGACATTTTACACCCGAAATAGGCTGCATGTTTTAAAAATAGGAGTATGATAAATATGTCATTTGAGTAACTCAGAAACCTTTAAAAACCCTAAGCAATAATTTTATAAAAACAAATTCATTGGAACAATTTCTCAAAATATATTAAGAGTGGTTTTCTGGAAATGTATTTCTAACAGCATGCAGCATGCAATGGTGTCCGTGGTATACGTCTGAAGTGGCAAAACTTAAATACTGCAATTTTTTTTATCTTGATTTACTATTTTCAATTTTAAAATCATAGACATTTCTTAAATACATCTATACCAAAGCATTTTTATTTTAAATACAGCTTACTTTTACCACCGCTGGTGCAGAAATAGGTCGGATTGTCTACAAAATCAAGATTGCTTACTATATGGGGATCTTGGAGTTTGCTCAGCGACCATTACAAACAACATCTCTACCGTAGACAAACGCAACAAAGGTAGGATTGGATATTTTCCCGTTCCTTTTGTCCGTATATACTTCAATTTTAACGACAGAATTCGTTTTAAATGAAGTTATAAATCTGTTTAAGGGTTGGGGTTGGTTTAAGTAAAGCTGTCCCGTGTGAACGGATCAAAGGATCTGATTTTAATCAGATTGACTTTGATGCATGGAATTGTCAAAAAAAATTGACTTTGTTATCTCGAAATGTTATTTCAAACAAAATAAGTACGAGTGTTGATCCAAAATTAATGTTACTACTTCAATAAAATTGCTGCCAGTCAACGAAAAACAACAACATCATTAATGATGAAAGCTTTATCTATTTTAAATCAGACCTGAAAATTTCAATTCAATAATATTTATACTTTTCAAAATATCGGATTATATACAATGTTCGATTATGGAAGTCGTCGCACCTAAATAACGTCATAGGGCGGATACGCGCCGTCAAACATTTAAACGCTTTCCTTCGTTTCATTTAATTCATTTGAGATTCACACGCGTTAAAAAAATTCAATTTCTTAAAGAAAACCTGGTACCCATCGTACACTCACTCTTTTCATTATTAATTCCTCTGTTAAATTTCTTTGAGCATTAGTATAAGACCAAATTGAAATTTCAGTTATTGCTCTAACCGTCTGTCGTTTTTATGACGTCACACACCACTGAATGTTCTCGTCCGGCCCTCCTATCTTTCGGTCTTTTGGTCTTCTTGTCATCTAATGAGTATTCAATGACCCATCACCAACCCAAACAAAAGCTGAATCCATCTAAACAAGTCTTTCCCTTTTGAGTCTGATGAATCTGTCTCTACTGGCGAAATCTGCGTTTTGAAGCAAAAATGCATTATTTACAGTTACATGTAGTTGTGGCGGTTTTTTTTCCATTTCAACATTTCCTTTTTTCAATGCATCGGAGTAAAACAGCGATATTTTTTTTTATTAAAAATAGCAGTGATGTCATATAATTTTAACTTATGACTAGAAAATGATGAAAATTTTTGTCTTTTGAAATGTAAGGCTATTGACCCTTTAAAAGTTGCTTTTAATTTTTAAAAAAAAATACACTTTAATAATGTGTGACTTTCGGTTGTGACTCGGCGACACGATTATATTCTATGTTTTAAACATCTATAAAATGAATACAGTAAAACATTATGAAATGAGAAATTCAAGATTAGTTAGATTTATATTTGTGCATATTTTTGTATATTATATTTAAGAATATGACATCAAAGATAAAAGATTTGGACACAATAACATTACTTTTTGATCAACCCTCGTAGTAATACGATATGAACTATGCATATTTTTTTTATCCAAGAAGTAGATATGAATCTGAAAATTAATGTTTTCTTTACAGAAAACAGAGCTGATGGATATGAAATTGGACATGTGATTGGTGCAGTTATTGGTGGGTTTGTTACAGGCATTGGAATTTGTGCTGCTGTAATGTTCATTTTAAGAAGAAATCCAAAAAGATTGAAGGATAAATCAAGGTTAGGTTTTTATTGATGTTCAAAGCATCCCAAGATTAAAGAACATATCTAGAAAATCAAATTTTAAGTCCTATTTATTTGTACAATTGTTGTCTAGATTTTTTAAAAAATCACAATGCAAATATTTGAATTAATTTTGTTTATTGGGAGATCATTGAAAAAATGAAGAAAGAAGCATAAATTTTAGGGTTTGATTCATATTTTAATTCATGCCAAACCATGAAAATAAAATATATCATATATTTTGTATATTTATACCATTATTATATTATATTCATTTCAGTGCCCTACATTTTCGTCTCAGATAAGTGAGAACTAAGACCAATCAATCGCCATTGTTCTGTTTTTCAGGGACGTGAAGGTGCAATTTGAAAAAAAATCTAGCTTTGAAATAGGAAGCGGTGTAAGTTTTCTTTGCCATTAATTCATACAACATTCAAAATAATGTGTGAGTTTTACGTGTAATTTTTTCTTAAATACACATTTATTTTTTTATGTTAGCAGAAAGGAGATCAAAAAGAACCCCTTAACGATGAGGACAAGGAATATTCTACCGTCACAAATGTACCTAAAAATAATGAGGACTTGTATAACCATCTTAATGAAGTGAAGGAAGAAAATAACATGGACCTTTATGACCATGCCCACAATAATTCAACTACTTCATGAGGAATTAATACTATATATGTACGCATGCACATGTAAAACTTTCCTATAAATGGAAGGGTATACGCAACATGAGTATCCCTTCCATGATAAAAATGGACAACTAATCTCAGAGGAAAAAATGACCAAAAAGGACTTTTCTATATGATACATTTACATGTAATATACGAAGATCAAAATATCTGCAAGATTTCGTTTTTACATTATATAGGAACATTTTGAATTGTTAAAAAAAATAAGCCAGCATTTACCATGTGTTTACCTAGATGTCGACAGATAATTTTCTTACAGCAGTAGTTTATGTGGTGGACGCCAGATACTTTACTGGTGGTCGCTATTAATAATGATCTCAAAGCCGCCATTTTTTGATGTGGCGTCCCCCAAACATTGTCTTTTCAAATTTACATGTAGTTACACTGTAGCACTTACTGGCTTCTGTAATGATCTGAATGCTATAAAAGATCTTAACAAATATAATTTTTTTTCCATAGAACTGAACAATGATTACTACAGTAATTTAACAGTCCTGAAGTGACCTTATCATAAAAAAGTTATCAATTATTTATCATACCGATTATTTGTACGTATATTTAAAATCAAGCTTTACATTTTTTTTTACAAAGTGCGTTGATGTGGTCGATATTAATGCATTTTGAAATAAAAATTATTTTTTTTGAGTGCGTTAGCTTGGTCTCAAATTTAACGTAATTTTTCAAAGTGCATTGTAACAATGCATATAAATTTTAATTCTATATATTCACGATTTAGAGCAATGATGTCTATGACCTCTCTTAATCTTAAAATTCAATCTACAACTGACTTTATGATCATTGTTTGTTCTAGATGATCTTCCTTTAAGCATTTCATAAATTCACTTCACACAAAAGAATTATAACCAATACAAAAGGAGAAAAGAAAAAGTAGACAAATACTTCTTATTTATTAGTCTCCTACCGGTGAAACCGGGGGACTATAGGTTTCCTCTGCGTCCGTCCGTCCGTCCGTCTGTCTGTCTGTCTGTCTATCTGTCCGACTGTCTGTCCCCGTCAGTCTGTCCCATTTGGTTTTCCGCACTTTTTTTAAACGCTTGCAGATAATGAGCTGAATTTTGGTATGCGAGTGTATCTTAATGAGTTACAGATCAAGTTTGAATTTCGCTTCGCTTTATTGAATTTTGACAGAATTATGGCATTTTGAATATTTTTTCATAATCGTTTGATTTAGGTCGGGTTTCGAACTACGCTAACTTCCGATTGTCGATAAAAATATGAAGCAAGGAAAAGACGATGGCGAAATGAGTCATATTTTCGTCTCAATGTGGGTTTTTAAAATAGATTTAAGGCATTTACAACTTGAAGATCTTTCAGTTTTACCTTGGACATGACTTTTGAATATTATAAAATGATATCCAGAAGAAAAAGGGGAATCCGGTAGGAGACATGCATGCATTGCTTATGCAATACTCTCAGAATGCTTGTTCTTTATAAAATATTTCATGTTGTGTCACATATTATCTCTAAGCTGTAACAATTGAATCGAATATTTCTCCCCACCCCTTCAAACGCTTTAAAAAATTAAATTTTATTTCTAAGTAATGAGATACTCAATTTATTATATCGATACGCTCTAAACAAGGAAACATTTCAAATCCTATTGAAGTTATGTTTACATCACCTCTTGACATTTCATTATAGTAGATGTACAACAATGACAGGAAGTTCTCTTGGTAAGAGTATTCTCTTTCTCTCTCTCTCTCTCTCTCTCTCTCTCTCTCTCTCTCTGTCTTTCTCTCTCTCTTCTCTCTCTCTCTCTCTCTCTCTCTCTCTCTCTCTCTCTCTCTCTCTCTCAACAAAAACACACAAGAAAAGATAATGCATTTTGTAATCTTATTATTGTCTTGTTTGCAATTCAATAACTTAAAGTATGTTATGATATTGTTATCAGGCTTTATTTTAAAGCATTTTTGTGATGTCACATGCCTGTGTTGATAACGTGACGGAGATTTACGATACTAAATTTTTATAGCATTTCTTATTGTTGCACAAAAATCGCTTATTGTTGCTTCATCGGCACATGAGTAAAAACAGAAATATAGTGCAAATTTTGTTACATAGATCAATTTATCATGATCTCTGGTACATATAAAGTGTACACTCTTTATGTACTAGAGATCACGATGAAGTTTTGGGGGCGGGTTTACTTTTTTACTAGTTTAGAAAATATGAAACAAAAATAGAACGTGCTAAAATAAGAATTAAAGGGGTATTTTCCACTCTCTATCGCGATTTATAAAAACATGGATGAACTATACAACATCCCGCAATTTTCAATTTTCCCTTGTTTATCACTTGTGTTAGTCCAATATAAACACGATTCGTAAATTCTAACTCTGTCTACAAATGCGTAAGGGGAGGGTTTCAAACATAATATTTTGTTAGCTGAATATGTTCATATCGGAATAAAGACATTCAAATTTCAAATGTTCAACATCATTTATATGTTATTACACACTCGAGCTTAAAACATGCCTTACACTTGAATTAAACAACAAGTCCCCAGTCATGAAACTAAACTTGAATTCCAACGATTTATAACAATTCAAAGATATATGAAACCTATGAATCGGATGGTATCGGATAAAATTGAAGGTATCCACGACGGGGAATAAAGCTTAATTTCACTATAATAGTGAAATACCACTATCATTGCGGAATTTACGTTTCCCCCCAACCTGTTAAAATAGGTTTGTTCACGGATAAAGGAAGGGGGACTTTTTGAAAATAAAATAATGAGTTCAGTATAGAAGGAATGGCTGAATACTTTGTATGAAAACCGATTGTTTTTAAATAATGAAATGCATAATAATAACAGTTTTCTATCTCATCAAAACTACAGACAATGCAAGGCAGTGAAATGTCCCTAGGAGGGTTGTTCAATCAATAATGTCATGAGCTCGATGAAAAACAACATATATAGATATCATGTGACAATAAAGTTTGACTTTCTCTCATTTTTATGCCCCCGTAAACGAAGTTTTTGGGATATAAAGTTTTTGTCGTGTCCGTCTGTCTGTCTGTCGAGCAGTCTGTCTAACCCTCTGTCTGTTTGTCCGCAAATACTTTAACCCTGCCTATAACTTTTGATTTAGTGGAGCTATGACATTCATATTTTACATATGTATACCTTGTGACAAGACCTTTCATTTTGGTACCACCAACTTTGACCTTTTTACTTTGACCTCGGAGTTTGACCCACTTTAATACAAAAATTTTGAACTTCTACGTCGGCCATAATCTTTTGAACAACAGATACCAGGACATTTATATTTGACATATGTATTCTTTGTGACAAGACCTTTTATTGAATACCAACAATCTTAACCATCTGACCTTTACCTTGGAGATTTTTGTAAATCCTTAACCTTGGCTATAACTTTTAAACAATAAGTACTAGGGCTGTCTTACTTTACATATAAATTCTGATAAAAATTTAGTAATCCACGTAACATGGAAATCCAAAAATTATAAGATTTGGATCGGATGCTTAGAAGGAAAGTATCTCCTTTTGACAACTCACAAACCGTAGAGAGCATTGATTAAGTAGAAAGGACATTCTTTAATGAGATTTGGTATAGTATACAAAAGAGGGGAACCATTTGACAAGTCTTTACAGAGAAAGCTCTTAATGCTTACCCATATTCTTGTTTTATTATTAAAAGTTTAGAATGCATCTTATTGCTTTCATTAAAAACAAAACATGGTACAAAACTATTTTTACATTACTGTAACAGGTGCATGCTATCAGGAGAACCATCATCCACACTGAGAAAAAACTTTTTAAGAGTTTTAACAGTCATCAAAAAAGTAAATTTATTGCCTATACAAATACTACCTTCCAGGTAGTTTTTACTAGTTATAGATTACATTTACTAGACAACATTAAAGTAAATCAAGAAGTTTTAAGGAACTTCCACTATGTGCACTGTATATAAATACACGACACCCGTTCAGTTTGTTGAACACCTACTACTCACTATTTTAGCCAGTAAACAGAATGATTACAATTCTGTATACAATACAAACAATAACGATGAACAATTTACGAGGCAAACTAGTTATATTAATTATGTGCAAATTTATTTTAAAAATGGTTCTAATTTTTGGCCAAATTATTCGATTAAAACCTGGTTTCGGTCAGTTTACGCTTTATAATCCGCGAAGCGTAAACTGACCCAAATCAGGTTATAATCGAATAATTTGGCCAAGAATTAGTCATTCCTATAATTTAATTTTTAAATAAGTAAACAAATGTGGGTGTAAAATTGTGCTGCTTTTTATGAGTTTAAATTTGCCGCTCAATAATACATCCCTATGGTAACGGAAGTGATATGAAACAAGGGGACGTAATAACTGATATACAGACCTAGCAGCCATGATGTTTGTCTTGCATTAGGAAAGATTAAGCTACTGTTTGAAGTGAAAGGTACATTTATAAAATTTAGAATTTTTAATGAATCCCATGGACTGGGAATGAGAGAATTGAATGGATACAGATGATTCAGCTGGTTGTCATGGGGGTGTGTCCCCATACCAAACCATGTTATTAAGAATTTGTCTGCGTTCCATTTTGCAAATCAACCAATGAGAGACTAGAATATCAACAAAATTAAATTATTGAATATAATCTTTTACTGATGCAAAGACTCACTTACGCAACCCCTCAGTCGTATCCTCCCCAAAATTAATATTTTTTTACAAGAAAATTAAATCCAAATCCTTTCATATCCACAAAATAGTTTGGACACTCCTCAAAGATTATTATTTTTTTTCTAAATACCAACCTCTTACTTTAAAAAAGAGTTTTGCTTGTATATGTAATAGCTTAAATTCTCAATCTAGTACCTGCTCACATCTATATAGTTGTTGTCATTCTAACATAGCACATTACGATGCCCAGTTGCTAACTTCATGTACCCCGGTACATGTAGCCTGTAGACATAGACCACTATAGATGTGGGATGGAATATTTCTGAAGCCTGACGCTAGTCCTTTTATTCTACTTTATCGATATATTTCTC